TGTTATACTGTTTATTCTTCTAATAACCTTCGTAAAGTGTAAAACTGACTATGTGTATGTGTATCTATTTGTTTTTATACGTGTATGTGTATGAAACAATCTTACCGCTGCTAGTAGTAACTGTTTGGGTGTTTGATAAGGGAGCCTAAAAACCCTGTCAACTTATGAATCCGGTCAGAGGATACCTTATTTTTCAACGAATCAGGTTGGGTATTAAGGGCACCTAGAAACTCTGTCAGCTTCTGAATCCGGTCATTGGTTTATTTATTTTTGGACGAATCTAGTCAGAGGATCACTTATTTTTTAACTAATCTGGTCGGTGATTTTGGACTAGCTCATGAAGGGATTACTGGAATATTATTTAACAGAGTAATATGTGATCAGTTTGATACAAAAAATATAACTTGCGTGTTGGAGAAACCTGTGACTTATGGCAACTCCTACTATGACGAACGGCCGGTTACCTCGAGCATCCTTTTTTACAGCTTGAGGTTTTGGACACTTATAGATCACTTAATTTAACTATCTAGATTTCCACCTCCACCACATTAAATGCTATTTTATCACTGTTGTTGGCTATTGTAGGGCGACTGGTGAAGATTACTGGAAGGATATTTGCTTTCCATTGTGTATATTGCGACTACTGCCAACTACAAGTTTTCCATCTCTCTACAAGTAACTGTATACTACCTACTTCTCGTATTTCAATGAAAGAAGAATTTTCAAATTTTCGTCACTCCACCATAATAAGTACCATTTTGTTACTGTTATTAGCTATTTACCTGGAGTTTACCTGGAGAGAGTTCCGGGGGTCAACGCTATGGCAACACTGGTGAAATGGTTTCTGGTGTCCCGTGGCCTGGTGGCAAAAGCTCTCGCTTCACACGGTGGATGTCCGGGTTCGATTACCGGCGAAGGGGTAAAAACATCGGACGTGTTTCCTTACACCGGTTGTCAATGTTTATTCATCAGTAAAATGGGTACCGGGTGTTAGTCGACTGGTGTGGGTCGCATCCTGGGACAAAGCTGATCTAATTTGCCCGAAATGCTCAGCATAAGAAGGGTCTTTCTATATAATAGTATGTCATTGATGTCAGCTAGGCTTGTATACCTTGTACATGTACTTGCAATAAATAAAGATATTATTATTATTATTATTATTATTATTATTATTATTATTATTATTATTATTAGTAGTAGTAGTAGTAGTAGTAGTAGTAGTAGTAGTAGTAGTAGTAGTAGTAGTAGTAGTAGTAGTAGTATGCTGCAGTCACTGACAATTCTACACTGTTTATTGTATTTCTACAGAACTGTACACTTTTCTTATTTCCTCAAAATTGTGCACCTTTTCATATTTCAATAGAAATTTTTGTACTGAGCGGTATCACTAAACTATACGTCAGGTACACTAACAGTGGTGATAAATTCCAGCTGTATACTTAGAGAAAGAATGAAAAACCCAAAAGAACACTGGATTCAAAATTCAAGAGGATCATCAAATAGAACGAAAGAAAAACGTGAAAGACCTGCGAATAATTATGTCGGCTTAGCTTTTATTCAAAGAAAACAATACAGTATAATGTCACAACAGACAAGAAGATAACGAGGTAGATAATAAAAACTTTCAAAAGATGAGAAATAGTATAAATGGTGACATTTTTCAACTCGCTTGTGGCCTCTTGTTTCCAGTTTCTTCAGTGTTTACAGTTCGGTTGTATGCGACCAGCACAGACCAAATAAAGCTTTTAAATTACTGAGAACACCTTAATTAAAGCCATAAATATTTTACCACTAGAGTAGAGGAAACAGAGATATAAATGACACTGTATACCTGAAAAATACTTAAGGGCCTTGTTCCAAACCTGTTCACTTCTGCTATAACATACAGGAGTGAGAGATATGGAAGGCAGTGAAAAATATATCCAGCGAAAAGTAGGGCCTCTGATTATTGAACATCTTAGCAGAAGAAATCAGATACACTGATGTGACAAGCATAGAAGTCTTCAAGGGGAAACTTGAAAACTGTCTTCACCAAGTGCTAGATCAACTACGCTGTGATGGATATGTAGGTCATCGGGCCGACAGCAGGAATAACCTGATTGACTAGGCAGGCACCAGACGAGCCTGACTGAAGACCGGGCTCCGAGAGTAGAAAAACTCTTAAAAGGTATATCACCCTATTGTATATTTAACTAATAATGTAGCAGGATTTATATTATAATATTTGCAGGTCTGTTGGTGGTTTTCTGGAGTATACATTTCGAGGCTCTTTTTTTTTATTTCATTAGAGCTTATCATATATATGTATATATATATATATATATATATATATATATATATATATATATATATATATATATATATATATATATATATATATATATATATATATATATATATATATATATATATATAAGTAATTATTTTTAATCCATTCAAGAAAAAAGTTTAACAATTAAGTTCACACAGAACCTGAAGAATAGGAGGAAATTAATTTTAGTCCGGGGAAGGTAAGTGTGGATCCAGTTCTTTGGACCAAGAGCTTCACAACAGGGCTGTTATTTGAGTTGAAGTGAAAGTTTTTTTTTTTTTTTTTTTTTTTTTTTTTTATTCGCCGGTATTCTCCCGGCCCGGGTCTTTTCCAAGTAGTGGTGACCCGGCCTTGGCTCCCTATCTGGGGAGTGTCTCGAGACTTAAGTCTCCCATGGGAGGAGGGACAAGTACCTCCTCATCTTAGGGACCAAGTGTCCCCAGGCCTAGCCACATTCCCCGCCCTCACGGGGCTCGTAGGGAGAAGCTAGGCCTCTGGTCTGCCATCTACCCCGCCTCAAAGGGGCTCGTGGGGATGGCAGTCTTGTGAGCTGCAGATGGTAGCAAGCTCAGGTCTCTCTTGACCTTCAGTGAAAGTTGTTAATGCATCTTGAATGGTTGTTATGAAGACGATCCGCAGGTGATGCTCCTTTATATGGAGAGGAAGTTAACATGTTTCTTGAGTACCTGGATGCTGCATCTCAACCTTCTTTACCTGGTGAGGAGCATTCACTACTCTCTCCTGAGACACTTTCACTTCATTTAGTTTTCTACTTAATTATTATTACTATTATTAATAATAATTTTTATTTTGCTCAATATGCTCACTCTGTGACCCATTGTTGGGTCACACAGTGACTCAACAATGAGTAGGCCACACAGTGAGTTAATCGCGCAGTAACTGGGTCACACAGTTGGCTACACAGCGAGTGGGTTGTACAGTGGGTCACAGGGTGTGGGTCACACTGAGTGGTTCACAAGTGAGTTTGTCACACGGAGAGTTGGTCACACAGCGAGTGGGTCACACACAGAGTAGGTCATACAGTGGCTCACAGAGTAAGTGGGTCATACGGAGAGTTGGTCACACAGTGAGTGGGTCATAGGGAGTAGGTCACACAGTGGGTCAGAGTGAGTGGGTCACACACTAGGTTACACAGAGTGGGTCGCATAGTAGGTCATACAGTGAGTGGGTTCACAGAGAGTTGGTCACACAATGAGTGGTTCACACAGATAGTTGGTCACACAGTGAGTGGGTCACGCAGTGAGTAGGTCATACAGTCGGTCACAGAGTGAGGTCACACAATGAGTGGGTCAGAGTTGGTAAAGGTGAGTGGGTCACACAGTGAATAGTTCACACAGTGGGTCACACAGTGAGGTGACACAGTTGGCCACAAAGAGTTGGTCACACAATGAGTGGGAGTTACGCTAATATTCTGATGCCTAGGGGGTTAAAGCCTTGTCTAGGGGCATTTATAATATTAAACAGAATACACAAACCTTGGCTCAGAAAGGTAAATATAGCTGGACAATACGTTTATCAGGAAGGATATATAAATTCACCTTAATAAAATTATAGAGATATTAGCATTAACCGTAATTATACAACACCTAACCTACCCTCTACATATTACAAAATAGTTCTTTAGTACACTGCTATTAATTATGTGATATGAAAACAGTGAGCTTCCATGACCCGCTCCTCTTCTGACGGCCTTTTAAACTGCAGCCCTACATAAATACCAGGGCCATTCTCATTTTGTGAGAGTTCAAAAATCACCAAAAAAAAAAAAAAAAAAAAAAAAAAAGTTCTTAGGGCCAAAAAACACAAAAACACCACAATTTACTCAGTCTAAATTTATCACTTCTCGTTCAGTAGCTCCTACCACGACACTGCCAAACTAGTGGAGCTGCGCTACAAAACTCTCTCACTTCGTCCGTTTTCAGAACAATCCCCATCCACTAACACTTAAGGAGCATTTTCACTACACTTAAATTAAACTATATACACACTTTTTTACTTTACAACAATGCAGAATCCTGCATAATAGTGGGTCACACAGGTCACACAGTGAGTGTGTCACACAGGTCACACAGTGAGTGTGTCACACAGGTCACACAGTGAGTCGGTCAGACAGTAGGTCACACAAAGAGTTGGTTACAGAGTGGGTCACACAGCCACACAGAGAGCGGGTCACAGAGTGAGTTGGTCACACAGTTGGTCAAGCAGTTGGCCACACAGAGAGTGGGTCACACAGTGAATAGGTCACAAAGTTGGCTACAAGGTGGAGTAAGACAGTGAGTCACACAGCGGGTCACACAATGAGTGGGTCACACAATGGGACATATATTGAGTGGGTCACAAAGAGTTGATCACACAGAGAGTCACACAGAGAGCTGGTCATACAGTAGGTCACACAGTGAGTGAGTCATACAGTAAGTAGGTCATGTAGTGAGTGCTTCACATAGTGAATGGGACACACAATGAGTAGGTCACACAGTGAGTGGGTCACATAGTGACTGGGTTGCACAATGGGTCACAAAGTGACCTAAGAAATGTTATGTTACATATCGTTCAATTCCCTATATTTTATATATTTTTCGAGGCACTGATGATCTGTCTTGCGTGTCAGGTGCACAGGTGCCGCACGTGTACTTATCTCATGGCACACATCAACCGCTCTCTTTTGCAGATCCAAAATCATGGCAGCTTTCTCCAACGACCAGTCAACGCTGACCAGAGAGGAGGTCGGACACTCATCCTTTGAGACATCCAGTGAGAGATCTAGTGCAAAAATTTCAACTACATCCTTCTATAAAAGTGAATATGGTTCATTTTTATCACCAGCAAAGAATCTGCCAAGAGAACATAATGACTCTCAACAGAAAAGCCAACCTAGTAATTCTGACCAAACGCAACAATCCACAAGCCAGGAAATCAAAGCCAGAGATCAGAGTGTCCATCCCAGTTATCCTGACGAGGAAAACAAAACAGAACAGAGCTCAAATACGGAAGTAAAACTAAAAAAAGTGCTGGGGTTGTGGCACGGTATTGGCATGAATGTGGGGACCATGATCGGGGCTGGTATATTCGTGTCACCCTACACCGTGGTCCGGTATACTGGTAGCGTGGGCATGGCTTTGGTGGTGTGGACAGTCACAGGCCTCATGTCCATGATGGGCGCTCTTTCTTACGCCGAGCTGGGTATGTTATAAAAATTAATGTTTATATTCGTTGTAAGAGGATAATGTGACTATTATGATGCTAATGATATTTTCTAGTGAAAATAATACTGATGATACTATTACTACTACTACTGCTAAAATAATAAGAGTAATAATAATAATAATAATAATAATAATAATAATAATAATAATAATAATAATAATAATAATAATAATAATTATTATTATTATTATTATTATTATTATTATTATTATTATTATTATTATTATTATTATTATTATTATTATTATTGGTGATTAAAACTACATTAGTGTCACTAGGGACACTGTCATGTAGGGGGGGTATTGGAACGTAATGGGAATATGGAAGTAAGAGGAGGGAGTCAGTAGGCAGGGGACAGGCTAGCGAGGTGGTAGGAGAGATGATTAGCGGAGGTAGGTAATGTGAGGTCACTGGTGACTATATCCTCACCTCTCATTACTCTACCCACCACACTACTCACCCTCTCACTACTTGAAATAAAAAAGATAAAAGAATAAATAACGGGGACAGTGGATATTACTATTCTACTCAAACACAGTTTATTATTAAGTCTTTGTACAATAATATATTTGGGAACAGGAGAACATTGTGTTTAGATAAATGGGATGGTACATATAAGCAGTGAGACAGGGAACACAATCAACTAGACGAAACAGAATGTAACTTACAGTATGCTTCAAAGGACAGTTCACTACAGGAACTAAGTCACAGGTCACACGACCTACATAGCACGAGTACTGCTCGAAGCCAGTACTCTGCCCGATGTCTCCAACAGTCTCCTCCAGAGACTTCAGCAGCCTTCTCCCGAGCCCTGCACCCCAGCAGGAGCTCTGCTGGAAGTCTCTCTGCTCAGAGCTCAGCACCCAGGCCAGAGCTCCACACGAATCTCTTCTGCTCAGCTGTTCCTTGGGCTTATATGGTGGTCCAAGCACCCTCCACAACCACGTGTACGACCTGACGCCTGGATCTGACGCCACTGACGAACAAAGGAGCTGATACATAAGCCAAAAAGGCGTGTCTCGGACAGACATTTACCAAGGCAAGGTGACCATATAATTGGTTAGATTAGGTCTCCCCAGAGGCCTCACAAGCCCAGCTGAACTACATCACAACACTAGGCTGCACGTAAACTCTTCATTACCACTAGATTACTTAAATTCTCCCCCCTAAAAAAAATGAAATTAAAATAAACTTTCAGCATTTATAATAATAATAATAATAATAATAATAATAATAATAATAATAATAATATTATTATTATTATTATTATTATTATTATTATTATTATTATTATTATTATTTTCATTATTGTCTTTCTTCTTATAATTATTATTATTAGTAAAGTATTAGTAGTAATAGTAGCAGTTACCTGGAGTGTACCTGGATGTTGTTCTGAGGGTTAACACCCCCACAGCACGGTCCATGACCAAACCTCGCGGTGGATCAGGGTCTGATGAACCAGGATTTTTTTCCGGCTGCATGTAATGCAATGTACGAACCACAGCCTGGCTGATCAGATACTGACTTTAGGTGTATATCCAGCTCAATCTTGTAGACAGCTAAGGGTCTACTGGTAATCCACCCTAATGTATGCTGGGAGGCAGTTGAACAGTTTTGGTCCACTCACATTTAATTAATGTGTTATCTCTTAGTGTACTTGTGGCAGTCTTTTCATTGTGGTGATGTTGTACCACCTGCCGCCGTCACTTCAATCGTGGAGAGTGATTTCTGAGTGCAGATTTGTGACTGCTCCCTCTAGGACTTTCCAGTAGATTATTATGTATCTTTTTTGCTTGTGCTCCAGAGGAGTACAGATTTAGGGACTTCAAATGTTCCCTGTAACTGAGATGCTTTATTGTACATATATGTGCAGTGAAAGCTCTCTGTATATTTTCCAGGTCTGTAATTCCACCTGCCTTGAAAGGGGCCGTTACTTTACTGAAGTACTCCAGCCTAGAGACAATAAGTGATTTAAAGAGAATCATCACTGGTTTGGCATCTCTAGTTTTGAAGGTTTGCATTAACCATTCTTAAATTTTCCTAGAAGTGACAGAAACGTTGTTGTGATCTTTGATGGTAAGATTTTCTGACATCACTCCCAAGTCCTTCATACTAGGTTTTTATTTTTTGCTCTATTGTGTAGTTAGAATTTTTTTTATACTCCAATCCAGATTTTTATTTTCTCATGTTTTCTATAGCGGAGTAACTGAAATTTGTCCTCAATGAACTTCATATTGTTTTCTGAGGCTCATTTGAGGACTTAGTTAATGACTGCTTGGAGATTTACAGTGTCCTCAATGGATGGCACTCTTGCAAATTCTTGTATCATCAGTAGAGGAAGACAGTGCTGTAGTTTACATCTCTGTCTATGCAAGAATCAGGATGAGGACAAGGATGGGAGCGAGTACCGTAACTTGTGGAACAGAGCTTTTCACTGTAGCCACCTCTTTGTACTTAATTTGTTAGAAACTTATAGATCCATCTATTCACTTTTCCTGTTACTTCTTTATCATGCATTTAGTGTGCTATTACCCCATGATAGCGCCCGTCGAATGCTTCCGACAAATGCATTCTGTTTGTCCTCCACTGCACCTAAGACCAAGTCATAATGGTCCACTAGTTGTTAGAGGTCTGTAATCATTTGCAATTGTTTTCCTTCCTCCTTTGTGGAGTGAGGCTATATTCATTGTTTTTAGTGACTGTGGAATGATCCCCGTGTCTAGGCTCCCTCTACATACGTGAAAGGGGTTTCTTGCAGTTCTTGTTAAACATGTAGTTCCACGTGTCTGGGCCTGTAGCAAAGTGCATGGGCACGTCCCTTATTACTTTTCAAAATCCTGTGGTGTTAGGGTTGTATCAGATATTATAGAATTAAATATGTTCTGAGTCTCAATCATGAAAAATTAATTTAGATTGTTGACCCTTAATCTGATTAGCGGCTCACTAAACACTGAGTCATATTGGTACTTCAGTATCCAATTTATTTTTCTGTTGTAATTTGTGTAAGTCCCATTTCTTTTAGACAGGGGCTAAATACTGGACGCGGTTTTTGCCCTAGATTTGGGATTAGAAAATAAATTTGGATTCTTTCAATTTTATTTATTGCTTTAAACTCTTTCTGTGCTTCCTGGCTTCTGTTTTTCTATTTCTCAAGCCAGTGCCTCCTTCCGTGTTCCAGATAGCCTGGACCCTTGGGACAGTTCTGTAATTCTTCGCCTTCGCCTGTAGAGGGAGAGTCTCTCTCTTCCTTGTTTATATCTTGATCATTATCCTATTTACTTCACAACTACAACGTATAAAGAAATAATTTTATGCTTAACTCTGGAACTGTTCAGTGTTATATATTTATTATTTTTATTCTGCAGGCACCATGATCCCTCGAAGCGGCAGTAAATACGCATACATATTGGAAGCGTTTGGTCCCTGTCCCGCATTCCTCGCTGTGTGGTCCAGCAGCATTATATCTGAACCAAGCAGCATTGCTTTGGTCGCCATCACATTCGCTAACTATCTTCTCCTGCCTCTCTTTCCAACGTGTATGGAACCACCTTACATTGCCATCAGACTCATCGCCGCCGCTGTAATAAGTGAGTGAGAACAAGATATTGAGAAGAATATCTTTTTTCTGTTGATAGTGTCTGACAAGTAATTGTCCTAAATCTGATCCCCTACCATTACGTTTTTTTTCCATATTCCTGCAGTCATAAAACTGTGAATTGTTAGTGTAAATAGCTTTTACAGCGGAGGGCATAAGCTGCTTTACTGTATATTTTTGACAGTCTATGGGCATCATTCCATAAATTTGAGCCTCTTTACATTTTTTTTCAACAAGTCGACCGTCTCCCACCGAGGCAGGGTGACCCAAAAAGAAAGAAAATCCCCAACATGAAAATACTTTCATCATCATTCAGCACTTTCACCTCACTCATACATAATCACTGTTTTTGCAGAGGTGCCCAGACCACAACATTTCAGAAGCATATATGTATAAAGGTATGCAACACATCCCTCCAAACTGCCAATATCACAAACTCCTCCTTTAAAGTGCAGGCATTGTACTTCCCATATCCAGAACTCAAGTCCGGCTATATAAAAATAACCGGTTTCCCTGAATCCCTTCACTAAATATTACCCTGCTAACACTCCAACAGCTCGTCAGGTCCCAAATACCATTCGTCTTCATCCACTCCTATCTAACACTCTCGCACACGTTTGCTGGAAGTCCAAGCCCCTCGCCCACACAACCTCCTTCACCCCCCTCTCTTCAACCTTTTCGAGGACGACCCCTGCTCCCACCTCCCTTCCCCTACAGATTTATACGCTCTCCATGTCATTCTACTTTGATCCAATCTCTCTAAATGACCAAACCACCTCAACAACCCCTCTTCAGCCCTCTAACTAATGCTTTTATTAACTCTATACCTTCTCCTAATTTCCACACTCCGAATTCTCTGCATAATATTTACACCACACATTGCCCTTAGACATGATATCTCCACTGCCTCCAACCGCCTCCTCACTGCAGCATTTACAACCCAAGCTTCACACCCATATAAGAGTGTTGGTACTACTATACTTTCATACATTCCCTTCTTTGCCTCCATGGACAACATTTTTTTGTCTCCACATATACCTCAATGCACTACTCACCTTTTTTCCTTCATCAATTGTATGATTAACTTCATCCTTCATAAATCCATCTGCTGACATGTCAACTCACAAATATCTGAAAACATTCACTTCTTCCATACTCCTCCTCTCCAATTTGATAATCAATTTTTCTTCACCTAAATCATTTGATACTCTCATCACCTTACTCTTTTCTATGTTCACTTTCAACTTTCTACCTCTACACACACTCCCAAGCTCGTCTACTAACCTTTGCAATTTTTCTTTAGAATCTCCTATTAGCACAGTATCATCAGCAAAAAGTAACTGTGTCAATTCCATTTTGTATTTGATTCCCCATAATTTAATCCCACCCCTCTCCCGAACACCCTGTTACGTTGGTATGTCTTAATACTTTGATAGTAAGGTTCTCACTACATGTTCTAGTGTGGGGTAGCTTTTACTTAATGGCCTTATCTGTCTAGGGGTAATACTTACATAATGGCTGATCATCTTGAGTGTCTCTGATATCCTTTCACCAGCCCTCCTCACAGGTTATTTAAACTGCTACTATAAAAATATAACTGTATTCTAAATAGATATGTACAGAAGATACAATCACAGCCTCACATTTTCAAAACAAAAATCTACACACTCCATAGCTGTTCTCCCACATGGTGTGTCTCATTAAACCTTGTCCTTCTCTCTTCTTGACTAACTCTGGGCTAACCAGTGTTTTGACACGCTTTAGTCACCCTGGGTATGGTGGCCACAACTTAAGTTATAAAAACTCACCCCTGGAGCACACATAATGCCCCAAAGAAGATAGAAGAAGGGCCCAGAGATCCTGCCAGGTTGAAGGTCAGCAACAGAGAGAGTGAGAGAGGGAGAGTGAGAGAGGGAGAGTGAGAGAGGGAGAGGGAGGAGCCTAGCTAAACTCCTCCCACCAAAACAAAAGACTGTTGCCAAGCACAATTCTCTTGTTACCACAATTCTACCACACTTTAATTTACTTTTACAAAAAGAAATACAACTTTATAAACTACTTATTTAAATTGTGTGTGTGTCTATAGTATAACCTATTATATTGAGAAAAAGGCTTGACCCAGCTGCCTCTCAGTCATAAGGTTGATCAGCTCTTATGACATTTAGAACTGAGTCCCCATCAATTTAATATGATTAGGTATTCCAGAGTAACTGTTACTTATAAATACATGTTGGGTCCTATAGCCCCATAACACCCCCACCTCCAGACGAAGTCTCACAAAAGCTAGCCGTGTCCCTCAGGATACGGCTAGTAAAAAGTATATTGCTCAAGTCTTAAGGCGGTAAGCAAGACTACTAGAAATGCTACATATTTCCCAGCACCATAACTACTCTTCACTTTACTGTTATTTACAACAGATTGCAGAATTTTTTAGAAAAGCATTTTAACCATACCCATACTCAAGGGTGTAACTATTTACAATTTTAGTGGCTTTTAAACAATACACATTACAATGCAAAAATTGCACACAATGCCCACTGTGAAAGCCCACACCAACAGGCCTGTGCCTCTGCTACGGTAATCCAGCAAGCAACTGGTACTCCAGGGTGGCATCTTCCTGATCAGGAGATGAGAGTAGAGCCAAACCCAGAGCAGTCAGGTGTACACTAGGCAGGAAACTTCACAAAACATGTCAAGGTGTCTCTCACTTGGTGGCCGAACCAAACAGTGAGACTTCCAGTCAACACTCACGATCCTTAACATGGTCAGGCACTCAAGCCCATCTTCCGAGGTTCCACTCCACACAGATCCTCCAAACTTATGAAAAGGAGGCTGACATAGAACATGAAGGGGTCCAAGTGACCACAAAGGCAAATCGTCGGGCCATTTTGTATATAGACACAACATCACATACCTTCCTGAATGTCTCATGTTACCAAAGGTTGTCAACCACTGCCTCAACTCACATTTACGTACACCCTGACCCTCGTCACACTTTTGGCTCCGACTCGACTCCTTCACAGTCAGATGGCTGGTAGAGAGTACTCAGGCTCGCCGAGAGTTCACCACTGCAAAAACAACAAGGTCAGCACATGACAAACACTATGTACAAAGTACGCACCATGCATCTACATGAAACATCTAGAGAGAGCATCAGCAACCACATTCTCTGAGCCTTTTATATATTTAACTTCCAAATTAAAAGGCTGTAGGAACAAAGCCCATCTTAAGAGTCTTTGATTGTGGTTTCTCATTCTTTGCAAAAACCTCAGAGGGTTATGGTCACTATACACTATTACAGGATGTGGGGAAGCACTGATATAAACTTCAAATTTCTGCACAGCCAACACCAAAGCCAAAGCCTCTTTCTCTACAGCTGCATAACCACGTTGATGCTTTTTTAATTTGGCTGAATGGTAACAAACTGGCTGAAGGCTATCTCTCTCATTACCCTGCAACAACACTGCACCTACCCCTACATCACTAGCATCCACTTGTAGAGAGAAGGGGCATTCAAACTCAGGACTTTTCAAGATAGAAGCATTCCCTAATAGCATTTTCACATTTTCAAAAGCCCTGTCACACTTGCTGTCCCAGCTGAATTGAACTTTGGGACTGGTCAAAGTTGTCAGTGGTGACGTTACCTGGGAGAGGTTGGGGCAGAATCATCTGTAATAACCCACCATGCCCAGGAACCTCATCACTGCCTTCCGATTCTGTGGTCTAGGAAAATTTATAATGGCCTCCACCTTAGCATTAATTGGGGCAACTTTCCCCTGACCAACTACATATCCTAAGAATTGTACACTGGCTTGGCCAAACTCACTTTTGCTCAAATTGATGGTTAGTTTGGCTTGGGCTAGACGTTCAAACAACTTTTGTAATCTTACCAAGTGAGTTTCCCACTGGTTACTGAATACCACAATATCATCTAGATAGGCCCGTACACCACCCAACCCCCTTATGACAGTATTTATACGATGCTGGAAGGTGGCAGGAGCATCTTTTAACCCAAAAGGAAGAACATTATATTGAAATAACCCATCTGGAGTGACGAAGGCTGAAATTTCCTTGGCTCGCTGGGTGAGGGGTATCTGATAATAACCTTTAAGTAAGTCCAGTTTGCTCACAAACTTTGCCCCTCACACAGCATGATCACATCATCCATACATGGCAAAGGGTAACAGTCAGCCTTTGTTACTTCATTTACTCTGCGATAGTCAGTGCACATACGCATAGATCCATCAGGTTTGGGAACCATCAGGCATGGAGATGCCCACTGACTCTCGCTAGGCACTACAAACTGGTTTTGAAGGAGGAATTTCACTTCTTCCTCCATGTGAAGTTGTTTTGTTGGGTTCATGTGGTAAGGAGCCTGCTTTATTGGAACAGCTTCCCCGACATCCACATCATGGGGAGGCAATTTACTTACTTTGGGTACATCCCCAAACAAATCTGGAAATTTTGGGAGTAACTGAACCAAGTCACAGGCTCCCTGTACAGTGAGTCCCTTCATGTGTGCCAAGGGATTTTGCAAGATGGCTGAATTGCACAGCCTTACTTCTGTTGTTACAGGAAGTTTTTCAGTATCGTCACACTCAACTTGAATGGCGGCAACTCCTGCCCTAGAATGGTATTTTTTCAACCTGTTAATGTGCACAGTCCTTTCTGATTTGCGACGGCCAGGCATCTTAATTACATAATTGGGGCCAGACCTGCCTGTGATGACAAAGGGCCCATCAAATCGTGCAGCCAAGGCATGTCCCGGAACCGGCTCCAAAGCTAATACTTCCTCTCCAACACTGAAGGAGCGAGGAGCTGCCCTTTGGTCGTACCGCTGCTTCATGGCCCTCTGACTAGCTTTGAGGTTGTCTGCTGTCATCTGTCTCGCCTGGTCCAATCGTTTCCTGAAAAAGAGAACATCTTCCGGCGGGGAAGCCTCATTTTCACCGCCCAGCCAATGCTCCTTGAGAATAGTCAGTGATCCCCTCA